GAATGTCCTGAAAATACTTTTAATTTTTTTAAAAAAGATTTATTTATTTTATACAAGAGCTGGGGTACAGGCCAGAGGCACGGGAGAGTGAGAGGATTCACCAGAGACAGAGCGGGGAGCAGAACAGGCGGAAGGACCGAAATACACTGCTGAGGGGAGCAGCGGGTATGACAGGAGAGGTCTGCTGCACCATGTGGGATTCTCGCCGGCTGGCCGGCTGGGCTCAAACCCACACTGCAGAGACTGTGGACAGCTTCACAGCGCTGCGCTCAATCTGCTGCACCACCGGGGAGGCCCAATACTTTTAATTTTACTGAAAACAAAACAAACACCATACTGTTCTACATTTATGCAACACTTTCACTTAGATACATTTTATAAATCTTCTCCAAACAATGTGAATCAGGTATAACTAGTCCCATTTTATGGAGGAGGAAACTGAAGGTGGCCTAGGACAGAACTTAAATTATCTGATTTAATACCTTTTCCTTCAGACTTATGCTGTCTAATGTGATAGTTACCAGCCACTGTGGCTACTAAGCCCTTGAAATGTGGTTACTCTGAATTGAGATGTAAGAGTAAAATACAAAGATTTAATAATGAAAAAAGAATGTAAAATATTTTAATAATTTTTATACTGATGACATGTTGAAGTGATAAAATTTTGAAATATTAAGTATACTATTAAACTTAATTCCATCACTAGTTTCATTTTACTTTTTAAATGTGTTGTGACTACTGTAATTTTTAAAATTACATGTGAGTTGCCATTTGTGGTCTGCATTGTATTTCTGTTGGATGATTGCTCTAAACCAAGACTAGAACATTTTCAAACTCTCATGTACATGTACAGGGTATGATAGCATCCCTGTACTGAGAAGTCAATTTTAACAGGGGCAGAAGAGCTGAAAAGAGGGTCATCTCAAAAGAGATGAGAGAAACAAAAGACTGGATAGAAAGTCAGTCACTGAAAACAAATGACTTACAAAGTTTTCACTTATTTATTCCTGTATCAAATATTTATTTATTGTCTAATGAGATAATGTAATAGTCAAGGATAAAGGTGTCTATCCTCTCAAAATTTGTTTTCTGGAGGCAATAGAGAATAATATACAGTAAATAAAAAAATATTATAATTTCAGATTCTATTAGATTATAGGTTGGCTGCTGTAACAGAGAGACTCAAATAACAACAGCTTAGGCAAGAGAGAATTTCATTTCTTTCTCATGTAAAGGTCTGGGGGTGAGCAGACTAGGAAAATAATCAGGCCTATGGTAGCAGGGATCCACATTCCTGATCTGCCGTCACTAAATGTGGTCATCCACTAGGTTGGAAATGGCTCATCATCTCCTCCATGTTATAATCAGGCAAGCAGGAAGAGAAGGGAAAAGTGAGGACACACCTCTTCCTTTTAAGGACCTGATCTGGCAGTTGCACATGTCACTTAATTCAGAGTCTATTGGCCAGTATGTAGTCACATGACTGTACCTAGAGCCAAGGGACTCTGGGAAATGTAGTCTTTATATAAAACAACATAATCCAGTTAACAGTTCCTGACCAATGGTAAATTGCACAACAACTGTAATTACAATATTTTCATAGTTGGAATGTATTACTAGAAAGATGAGTCTTTGACAACTCTTGGGTAAATCCAGCAGAATTTACCTATCTAAGGATAGAGAAGGAAGTCAGCACTGTTGAGACTCATAGCAGCGAGATCAGTGTCATTTTCCAGAACATATGACCTATGTTGCAAAATGCTTCCAGAATACAAAATCCTCTCTAAGAGATTACACAGTTGCAAAAGATAATATCTGAGAAAGTAGGGGTCACATTAATTTTTCAGAAAGCTTAATTGATTCCTTTTAGACATAGAATTTATTCTGCAGAAACAAATCACTGTAATGGGATGGAAGAGAGAACAGGAGATGTCTTACTAATTATTAGCAACAGTGTAAAAGGAGTGTGTCTCTAAGGAACTAATATTTAAACAGAGACCTGAAGGATTAGAAAGAGTTTCTTATAGAAAGAGTTCCAGGCACAGGGAATAGCAGATACAGAGACTTTAAAATAAGATTACCTCGGGCCTCCCTGGTGGCGCAGCGGTTGAGCGCTGGGTTGCCAAGCTGTCCGCAGCCTCTGCAGCACCGGTTCGATCCCTGGCTGCTCCCTGGCCACCGGAGGAGGGTCCCACATGGTGCGCAGACCTCTCCTGCCGCCCGCTGCTCCCCTCAGCAGTGTACTTCGCTCCTTCTGCCTGCTCTGCTCCCTGCTCTGGCTCTGGTGAATTCTCTCACCCTCCCGCGTTTCTGACTGTACCCAGTGCTTGCACAAATAAATAAATCTTTAAAAAAAAATAAAAAAAATAATAAAAATAAAACAAGATTACCTCAATGTGTGCCAGAAACAAAGCTTTTCAGAGACGCGAAAGTGTCATGAGTGTGGAGAGTGAATGTAAGAGAAGGAAGAAAAAGGAAGAGAAAGGAAGAGAGATGGGAAAGGAAGGTACTCCTCCAGGTTAGCTCTGGAGGGACATCTCCACCAGACAGGAGGAGGGTAGTTTCTGTTTCCGTCAGGTATTTGCTGGTGGTTGTCTCTTGGCAACTTTCTATTCAAATTGTCCCAAAGTAGGACTGACATTAGCTTTACTTCAGCTCATAGTCCTCTCTTTTCCTTCCATTTGCTTTCCTGAACTGTGTACTCAGGATAAAAATACCTGCCCTCCTCCAGGGTTGTCATGAGGATCAGATGAAGGAGGAGGTGTGAGGGTAGCTGTCGTGTGAAATGTGAGTTCTGGGGGAGGGAGGCACAGAGGCCCACACTAAGTAAGAACTCAGTATCATTTTCTATATTATGGTGGCAGTCAGTCGTTTTCATCAATTTTCAGGCCTTGAGCAGAGAGAATAGAGAACTAAGTCATGAGTTCTTTTCCCAGCATACTAATTAAATTTTTTTGTGTGTGTCAAAGCAAGTATTTGGTTTAGGAGATTCCCTTAGTCAAAGATCTTTATGATTTGACATGGAGTGGTATGAGTTGTACCCAATGGAACATTTATGCCATTTGTTGGGTAGAACTGTGCTCTCTGCATTGTTTTAGAATGTATATGTGGATATAACTTTAAATAAAAGTCAGCACCTTCTGAATCTTTTTTTTCATGCCAGCCTGTACATAACCCCTGTAAAAATTACAGCACGTTATCAAACCTTGTTTTGCTTCTCCATTTTACCACATGCTTCTCCCAGATAACTTTTGGGACTTTGCTTGGCACAGGGCTTGGGAGCCATTTTGCCAGGTTACTCTTTCATTTCTGGGGTGTGAGACCTTGAAGGATGGGAGTGGAAGACAACTTCTTTGACTGCAATTCCATTTGAGTTTCAATCATCTACATATTCATTCATATCCACTCTATCATCCACCCACCATCCTACTCATCCTTCCAGTGAGCATTGCCTGTATCTAAGTTACATGGCAGTTTGAGGAACTGCAAGTACAAAGATGAAAAAGACAATGCATGTCTTTAAGGATATTAACGTTAAAGGGGGACATATTGTAGGGGATAGACTGTAGAGTAGTGTGCATAGGAAGGAAGGGTTATTGTCTGTTTTCATCCCCAACCCAGGATTATGGATTAAAGATTGAAGGAAATCTTCCTATAGGATATTATACCTGCACTGAGTGATCAACAATGTTAGAGGAGGCTTTCCAAGTAGAGGAACAGCAGTGTAAATGTATATGGAGGTGAAAAGTTGGCATGGTACCAGAACTGCAACCTATTTTAGTATGGTTAGAGCAGGAAACACAGGATGGGCATGAAGAGTGCTAAAATATGCTAGAAAAATAGGCAGGACTGAATGAACAAGAATCCTCTAGGGCTTGATAATGAGCTTGAATCTAGGAGGATTCCATTAATGTAATTTAAAGCAAGGGAATGAGGGGCCTCCCTGGTGGTGCAAGGGGTTAGTCTTAGCACTATGAAGCTATCTGCAGCCACTACAGCACGAGTTCGATCCCCGGGCAGGGAGGTGACCCACATGGTGCAGCAGACCTCTCCAGACTCGCCCACTGCTCCCCTCAGCAGTGTATTTCAGTACATCTGCTTGTTCTGCTCCCCACTCTGTCTCTGGTGAATCCTCTTACTGCCCCCACCTCTGGCCCATTTCTTATATGCAGAAATAAATAAATCTTTTTTAAAAAAAAGTAAAGCAAGGGAGTGATGAGCAGATTTCAGTTTTTGAACACTTCTTCCAGCTTTGAGGTGGAGGATGAACTGAAAGAGGCAAGGCACATTGAGGAAAGTGAGATTGGTTGAGGCCTCTCAAAGCATCTGCAGGGCACAACAGAATCCTGAAGTTAGATGGTGGTTGTGAGGGAGAGACAAGTGGACAATTGAAGATAGTACTGAGCAGTAGAATTGACAGAGTTCAGTGCTAGATTGAATGTGTGGGTGTCTTCTGTATGTGTCTGCCTGACAGAGGTGTCATTAAGTCTTGCATGTAACACAGGGAGGGGACAGCTTTGTAACACAAGAAGGGAACATTGAGTTCGGGTTCAGAGAACTTGAGGAGAGACCACTGTCCAAATCTTGGTGAGAGGTCTGGGTGGGAGATGGAAATCTGGCAGAGACGAGTGTGAGCGTGGATGCTTGGGGTGAATGGAGAGAGTGAGGAGGATGACCCATTTATCAAGGAGCAATGGAGGAGGAAGGAAGAAGGGAACAGGAATGAGTAGTCTGAGAAGTAGGAGAAAAATGGGAGTCCTGGTAGAAAGGCAACAGAATTTTAAGGGGTCATGTGCTGCTGAAAAGACACGTCAAATGGGCACGGATAGGTGTCTATTGGATTTAATGATGAGAGGCTATTGACTGTCTTGAGAGAATATTTTTGGTGAAGTGTACAACCAGGACTGCAAAGTGGTGAAGAGTGAATGGCAGGCAAGAAAGTTGATATAGAGAGTGTGAGCAAATCTTTAAAATGTTGACTGTGGCCTTCCGCCCCGGGCCCGGAAGGGTGATGTGGCTGGGGCTTCGCCGGCCTCACTATGTCTGCCATTTTCAATTTTCAGAGTCTTCTGACTGTAATCTTGCTGCTTATATGTACCTGTGCTTATATCCGATCTTTGGCACCCAGCATCCTGGACAGAAATAAAACTGGATTGTTGGGCATATTTTGGAAGTGTGCCAGAATTGGTGAACGGAAGAGTCCTTATGTAGCAGTGTGCTGTATAGTGATGGCCTTCAGCATCCTCTTCATACAGTAGCTTGGCAAAATGCCAGAATTTAATAGCGATCAGATTTCAATATATAAAAGGACTTATCAACAGAAAATAATGGAAAGAATGGTTTACCCTTTTATCTCGGAACACTGAATGAGATAAATTTCCAGCTGCTGGTCTCTATTTTTTGTTACTGGACCAATGTTCTATATAAATAATTAGGATGTAACCATTTAATACAGAAGAGTTTAATATGTCTGTAACAACCTCAGTACTGTCACTACAATATTGCATTCTGCAAATGTCATTCTGTTGTGTCAGATACCAGCTTTTGGTAAGGTATCTTAGAGCACATAGTAGAAACAAAATTGGTAAATAACTCAAGTTTCTTTCACTGTGATTTGGAAATGATAAATCTTTATAGAATGAGAAAAAAAAAATAAAATGTTGACTGTGAAGAATATAAAAAATATGTATATGAGAAATACATATAATTCATCTGAATCTTTCTCTTGTAAATCACAATGTTGTGGCATATAAAGGTCCTATGTGTTACAGCATGCACAGACTACACTGGGGGTGGGCTATAAAGGGAAGCCATTCTTCCTCACTGCTCTGGGGTCTGTGAAGCTCTGTCTCTGGATTTGTAAGGACGAGATAATGATTTAACAGACAAAAATGCTAAAAAGTGTCTGGTTGTGCAGCACTGTTTATAATGGCCAAGTTATGGAACCAACATAAATGCCCAACAACAGATGAGCAGATTAAAAAGATTGTGTGTGTGTGCATGTGTGTGTACACAATGGAATACTACTCAGCAATAAAAAAGATGAAATCATGCCATTTTTAACAACATGCATGTGATGATAGTAAATGAATTAAGTCAGAAGAAGAAAGACAAAAGCTGGAATGTTTCATCCATATGTTAAATACAGAGAAACAAAACAAAGGAGCTGACAAAACTGAACTAAAACAAACTCTAGAAATCTGACTGCAGAACTGAGGTTACCAGAGGGGAAGGATGGAGGTGGGAAGCAAAGTAGAGGATAATTTATGCGTTGGTATGGAGTGTGGTGTGGTTACAGACATCTGAAGTTATAAGAACCTATGCCTCTGAACGATGTACAATATTGTAGACCAACGTTACCTCAATAAAAAAATAATACAATTAAACAAAAGATTTTCTGGTCAGCAGTTAGTGCCCTGTCCTGAAACTCATGGCAGAAGTGAGTGGCTGTGGGAGAGACACTGTGGAGAGCCACTCAGGCCTGGCCAGAGGCCATGGCAGTCATCCCTGCACCAGAGGTGTGGGTGATATGGAACATGCTGAGCTACAGGTGGCCTCAGGGTGGGGTGGGCTGACCCCACCTCTCATCTAAGGCAGCAGTGGTGGCCCTGTTACTGGAGTCTGGGTCTTTTCCCTGCTGGCACAGGTGCCGTGCTTTTCTCATGACCCTTCCCTACCCACCACTTAGATCCTCAAGGCAGCAACAAAGATAAAAGCAAGATGCTGAGGCAATTCCCCTCTTCATGAACTCCTGCCTGGATATACACAAGAGGCTGCTGTGGACATTTTCTCTTTAGGAAAATAATACCTACTCACTATTTAAAAAAAAAAAAAAAGAATCGTAGGATAACACAGGGGAAAAAAAATCACTCAGAAATAGTTAATGGTTTCAGGGTCTTTTTTTTTCCCCCTTTGATTTCTATACTCTCTGCCTAGTATTTAATATACTCTCTGCCTAGTTTGCTTTTCTTCCTGGACTTAGAAGATGGCCAGAGCTGCTTTTCCTGGAAGAATGGTGCTCGGCGACTGGCAAAGCCAGTGAGAGACACTTTGGCACATCAAGGAGAAGCCAGAGACTCGTTAGTGTCTATTTACCACCTTGCAGAATGCTCCAGAGGAAGGACCTGAGCCCATCATCTCCTGGAATAGGCTCCCCTGAGCTCCAGGTCAGGATGTGCATAATGAATGTGGGCAGCCTGGGCTAAGGGGGGGAGTCTCTGGGGTACCTCATCTTTCTTTGGCTCCTTGGGGAGGCAGGAGTTCTGGAGGCAGGGGAGGCTGATGGGCATCGTCTGTGTTTGGGCTCAGTGTGGATGTGTGGGAGACCACAGGCAGCTCTGTACACTGGCCTTGCTGGGAGGACCCTGGATCTGCACACGCTGTCCCGGTCTGCCAGGGCCGCAGAAGACCAAGTGATCTCACAATTGTTGCCCTAGGGCCAGAAGGTGAGGCACCAGAGCAGATGAGGTCTGCCGAAAGCCCCCAGGGGGCCCATGTGGGAGCAGAGAGAACTCCCTGGTTCCTGGTCGGGTGCTCGGGCCCCTGCGTAGCACAGGCCCATCAGTTCCATGGTTTCCAGATCACCTCTCTTCCGCACTTATGTTCCCATTTGGAAAAGTGGCTGATACTGATTTTTTTTTTTTAAAGATTTATTTATTCACTTATACAAGCACTGGGTACAGTCAGAAGCACGGGAGGGTGAGAGAATTCACCAGAGCCAGAGCGGGGAGCAGAGCAGGCAGAAGGACCGAAGTACACTGCTGAGGGGAGCAGCGGGCGGCAGGAGAGGTCTGCACGCCATGTGGGACCCTCCTCCGGTGGCCGGGGAGCAGCCGGGGCTTGAACTGGCGCTGCAGAGGCTGCGGGCAGCTTGGCAACCCAGCGCTCAACCATTGCGCCACCGGGGAGGCCCTGATATTGATTTTTTCCCCCCCTCCATTTCAAAGAACTGTTCTCCACATGGTATATCAAAGAATGAGAGATGCCTTGAGTCCTAACCCTGAGGGAGCTTGGGTAGGTCGCCTTGCTGAGCCTCAGTTTACCCTCTGTAAGACATGGGAATGATGATGATAATTACAGTCCTGATAGTTAGACTTCTTGAACCCTCGCTATGGGCCAGGCACTGTGCCAAGTGCGAGGAAAATTTCAGTTTGTCTTTTTAACAACCTTCTGGGGGAGGCGTGTTATCTCCATTTTAAAGATGACAAAACTGAGCCTCAGAGTTTTACTAACTCGCCTGGGGTGGTAGTGTCTCCTCGCAAGGCTGATGTCAGAATGGCATTAGCTGTGTGTTAATATGTAGTCCAGCTACCACACACACATGCAAACACAAACTTAATTTTCAATGTAAAAATGTATCAAGTTTTTCAACTCAAATCCTTAATTTCAAGTTACTACTCTTTGATTTTATTCAGCAGACATTATTTGAACCGCCGTTGAATGTTAAGAACTATGTTAAGTGCTGGAAGGAAGTCACCACACACCCCCTGTCACATGGAGATCATGGGCAGCAGGTAATAGTCATCCAGGTAAACATAATGGCCCAGCCTGGCGCTGCAGCCCAACCCAGAGATTCTGGTTCCCCACAGGGAAGGATGGGGCCAGACATCATTGTTTTTTAAATCCATCCCAGGGGAATTCTATGGGCTGCCAGGGCTAAGGACTCCTGATCCAGACAGTTGAAAGAAGTAACATTTAAACTTGGGGCTGCTGGAATCTGAAGGTGTTTCTTTCCTTCCACTGGAAGCTGACAGTTTTGCCACATGAAGTTTTTTTCTTCTGTTAGGGGTGAGAGGGTAGGGAGATTAAAAGATGGGGAGGTTGGGGGTGCGCTAGAAGTGGCTTCCAGGTCATCTCCACCTCTGGAGAAAAACTGGGCCAGACTGCAAGCCTGCCCGCCCCCACTCCACAAAATCATTGTCAGCCTCAGCATCAAGCATGAGCTGAGGAAAGTGGTTTCCTTGGGAACCTGGTGTTCCCACTGCTGACCTCTGCTCGGCCAGCTGCTACTGAGCAAACTGCTTGAGGAATAGAACGTTCTTAGAGATGTGACTTTGAGGAAATGTTTCTCCCTTCATTCAGCAGGCTGCTGATGGGGGCTTCTCCCTCTCCCCCTCCTTCCTGCAATACATGGTCCTCATGTATTGTCATGAGGTCAGGCCTCAAAGACACAAGCTTGAAAAGCACAACAGCTCATACCATTCTGACATTAACCCTGCCAGGTGGATAATATTGCCCAACTGTGAGGTCATGGGCACGTTAAACTCTCACTCTCAGTCTCTTCATCTTTAAAACGGGAATAAAGTCCCTCCCTCACAAGGTGGTTTTTATGAAAGAGTCAGCAGGACAGACATACTCCCTTTGATGCCGACCTGTGGGCAGAAGCTCATGCCCACCTCAACCATCTGCTTGGCCTGGCCGGTTGCGGTGTGCATTCAGACTGGGAGAGGAAGTCGCACTAGGCCAGGCCGCAGCATGTGTCATTGGGAGTGGAGCCAAGAGGGCTGTGCTGAGGCCCCGGATGAGGGATGATACTGTCTCAGGCAGTTAGCATGCAGGCAAGCACACCCTCCCAAAGGGGTTGTTCCTGAGCAGCAGTGGGGGCCAATCACTTGCCCTCTGAGTTAAGTAAGAAGGGCATATTTGCACATGCCCATTCATCCTCCCGAGTTAGAACCAGATGGGTTAGCACCTCTGTGGACATGGCATGGGTCAAAGGTGAAGAGAGTGCAGAAGTGATGCACTGGGCCAGTTTCCTCTTCCAGAGACATGTTAAGATGTCACGAGTGGGAAGAAGCAATGGACCACCCTATCCCATATTGCACACATCAGACCCTGGGATTTCAGATCTCAAAGTATTTTAAAGATTATCTAGACCAACTAGCTCATTTACTGGAGAGGAAACTGAGACTTGTGAGGGCAAATGACTTGATGAAGGAACAGAGCTGAGGCCAGAATGGGGGCATTGACCTCTGCAGCCAGGCCCACTCCAGCGAGCACAGCATGTGGGCAAGCTGCTGCGCTTGGGCTTTGCTGCGGCTTTCCTCTGGTTAAACGTCATGTGAATAAATGAGATGAGGTGCATCCAGGAGGCACGTTCAGTTGTAACGTTATACCATTCACCGATATGCATCTATCAAGCAAATGTCTGTTCTCTGAATTGACCTTTTTTTTAATGCATAAGGGGCCACACAGAAAAACAACCTTGTACTGACAACATCCTGGTAGATCTGACATCTTCCCTCCTGATTCTGTCTTCTGCCACTCAGCTCGGGCTTTGCCTCTGGCAACACATCCCAGACAATGCCACTCCCAACTGACTCAGCTCTCAGGGTGCCACACCTGCCTCATTCTGGTCACGCAGGAGTCTCAAGCACAAGATGTTGCAGCTGAAAGGGATCTTATAGATGACTTGGTTCAGTGATTTTTACGATTCTTTATTTTCTTAGTGAAACCCTTTTATAAAACAAAATCTTAAGTGGAATTCTAAATGTAGAACTCATAGGATGAAGAAGGGCCTTGAGGGCTAGAAGCAGAGCATCCACTGGGCTTTCCTCTTGCTCTGTTCCCTCAGCTCCTGGAGATAAAGGGGAAATTTTACAAACAAGCTGTAGGGGCAGGACAGGACATGGAGCAGGTT